ACCCCATCTAACAAGACCAAGAGAGAACAAGGAAAGAGTATAGGGGTCACTGTGAACTAGACCTGCCAGAGACAGTTTCAAAAAGGAGCCAGACAGGTAGGACACCCGATCTAGGGAGGACGGCAGGCACAAAGGATGGAGCGGGACTGGGTAACAGGGCCTCGGGACAGGATCATGTGTGGGGAGACAATAAAGAGTGAGTTATGGGATCAGGAGGCCTTGGAAACCAGCCTAAGGAATGTGAGTTTGATTTCATAAGCAATAAGAACATGCTTTAGACAGAATTCTGGAATACAAAAATCTGCCAGAAGTATACAAAGCGGAAAAAAAAAATAAATGCAATCCAGCACAGCAAACAATCCTGGGGAACAATTGGTCGTAAGGTGGAGACTTGCCTGCACCCACAAGTCCTGGTATTTCATTCACCATCAAAGGCCACTCAGTCTTAATTTCTAAGTACAGTTACCATAACTAACCTTTCATTACTACTTACCTAGTACGTGCCAAGTGTAAATCTTATCTTACATTCTGCTAATAACTATGCAAGGTAGACACTCTCGTGCCCATTTACAGAGCAGAGAACTAAAGCCCAGGAAGGTCAGATAACCTGGCTGTGATCCCACAGGAGGTGAGCACGGAGCCTGGCTCTTCTGCTAAGATTGGGGGTGGGGGTGGCGGGGAGGGGTGCTTTTAACTCAGCCTAGGGCCAGTTAGGCTAGGGGCAAAGCTTAATATAGATTTCACCGGTGCCTCATGCTTGAAAGTCACCTGCAAATTTGTGACATGAAAATGTTACATATCAGTTACTCTGAATCCAAACTATTGAAACTCATTAATAATAAGGTACGCCATGTCCCATCAATCACAACAGCCAAGAGCACATTCAAGGTTCATGTCCTCAAAGGTGAAGCCGCTTAAAGCCAGTGGAGCTGGAAAAGCAAATACTCAGCTCTCTCCCTCCACCACTCTGGTTAAACAGTGAAGGCTCTGCCCATGCCGGTTTGTGCCTGATTCTGCGAGAACAGCAGGCCACATATGGGGGAGAAGCCGTCCCTCCGTGCCTGCCCTGGCCAGGAGCTCATCACTCTGTGCTAGCAACAACTGTCCTGCTGCAGCTGCTCCCCCGGCTTTGCTGTCCCCAACATAGCAGGGGTAAAAAAAAAAAAATGAGTACTTGACAATAGAAATCTTTAGAACTACACAGAAAAGGCAAGGCACTAAAGCTCCATTGTGAGAAAAGGAAAAGGGACCCAGCTAATTTCCTGATAATGACTGTATAGGCGTCAAAGGGGTTGCCTTCAGGATTTGGTGGGACAAGGAAGTCCGTAGCAATTCCCCTCCGTACCTGGAGAGCTGATTGGAGGAGGGGCTGCCAAAAATGACAATGTCTCCATTTTTTTCTAACAAGAAAAAAAATGCCAATAAATCACAAACAAAAAATATGCTACAAAATGGAGAGAAAAATATGCTTGGAAACTCTGTTTCTTGCTTAAAAAGCTATTTGAACAACTCCAGGTAACAACCAAAACCAAGATCTCTTCTCAAATTAAGTGGAGGGGGCACGTGTTTCCACTTAACATCTGTAGAGTTGAGTCTGTTCCAGCCCAGAGTGAACCAGGCTGTAAGAAATAGGTACATCTGGAATATTTTCCACTGACAATTTATCCCTTAAACACTAATACCTGCTTTCTAATTTGTGTTTATGAGTATCTATTTGTGTACATTTTACATATTCATCCTGAATATCAAAGAGTTTATGTCTCACTAATAATCCTCATGTGCTCGAATTAATAATAATTGTGTGCTGGAATAACCATTATGCCATACCTATGCCTAAAATGGAAAACAAAAAAGTCAAGTTCATTTGGTACTTACCGGCCCCTACTGTGTTCCAGGCACTGTACTTGGCCCTGAGTATGTGGGAACAGTGTCCACTTCAAAACCTCAACAAGTTTGCACAGTCATCTTGCCACTTTGCTGGTTGAGTCAAACAGAAAAGTTTGCTTTTTTTTTTTAATTGCTTCTGGTAATTGACATATCTAAACTCAGTCTCTGCCTGAAGTAAACTTTTTAACTTGGAAATACTGAAAAAACAAGTTTTCCCAAAGTGCACACACAGTTAAGTCAAGAGAGGCCATAAAAATCTAATGAAGACCATGAAGAAACTGAAACAGGAATCTGGCACCCTCAGTTTCTCCAGTCCTGGAGAACATTTTGAAGTCGGCAGGCGTCAGCTGACTGGCACACGCCTCGAAAGCTCCCCACTGGCCAGCAGCGAGATCCTATTTAAAACAGGCAAGTGCAGACAAGAAGGCAGTGTCTGCAACATGCACAGGAATTGATACCATGAGGCAACTGCTTCATGGGTCTAGCTCAGTGGCTCTCAACTGGGAGCGATTTCGCTCCCCTGGTTCATTTGGCAATGTCTGCAGACATTTTGGGTTGTCACCACTTTTGGAGGTGGGAAGCATCTCATGAGGGATGTTGCTCAATGTCCTACAATGCACAGGACAGCCCCTCTCACAACAAAGAATTATCTGGCAATGGTACCCAGTTTGAGAAACCCTGGTCTAGCTCTACACAGCAGCTGCAAGTTGCAAGTAGTTTCCATTTCCTTATCATTTGGCTATTCATGCACAAAGCTAATACATGCAGCATCTTGTTCACTACTTCTTTTTCCCAATTGTTAGCACTAGTTTTAAATTGTTGTCCAACAAGCAACAAGCAACTCATGATCGCTAAACCACAATGGGGAAAGTCAGCAAAGAACAGTAAGATACTGCTTAGTGATAAGGAGGCCCTACAATTTAGCTGTCCTTGGGAATACTTCACTTCCATGCTCACTGTTTCTATTCTAACAGGACATTACAATCTTTTCTTCACTGGACAATTTAACAAAAGGATGCTCTATTATAAGATATTACAGAGAGAGAGAGAGAGAGAGAAGAAAGGGGATCTATGTTAGCAGTATGTGTCCAACACCAGTTTAGCAAGACCTGCTTGCTTCCCCTTGAAAGTGATAATGTTTGAGGGTGGAACTTTGGAGGCTGATTAGAAATTAATACTGTAATACAAATACATCACAAAATTAAAAGTATAACTTAAATAAATGAAACCTTCCCAGAAATACCAAAATCACCAGCGTGGAAGGAAACGGGCTGTGGATTGAATAACAAGCTCTTCAACACCGGGCAAGTGACTTAACATCTTTGGGTTAAGATTCTTTGTCTACAAAATAAAGAGGATAGAGTAGATGATCGCTAACTCAATATTACATTAATCAGTGAAGTAAAATCTAACAACCAGGTTTCATACTAAACTACTCTATTGTGCAAGGAAAAAAAGAGTACTTTGAGACTTCAAAGTCCAACAGGAACGTGAGGTCAGGACGGTGCAACTGCAGCACGTTATCCTGAAGTTCCCGCCACTTGCACTAGGGGGCAGAGTTCTTCCCGAGGGGAGGCCATGGCCCCCCGCGATGCTCAGACCGACCTCAGAAGGACTGGACCCCAATAGACTGAATCCAAGCTCTACGTTTTCATCAGAGTTTCAAAGGGGCCCAGAACACAAAAACAAACTTAAGAATTACTGCCCTAGAGGCAGAACCTCAGTTTCCTTACAGATGCAAGCAATTAAACACCGGAACACACTGGAGCCCCAGGGTGCTTACCGTTAGTCAGCCAACCTGCAACCCTTGCAGAAAGTTCTGGTGCCTTCTTACAGGCATAAAACCAAAGCTCTATGGATTAGAAAATACTAGCGTCTCACAATTATATATATATATATTTTTTTTTAAGAGGAAATATATATTGATGGATGATTAATTCCTTTCCAGGCTTCCACAATGAATGTGGATATCACATCTGAAACACCACTTTGAAAAACTGGGTATTACTATTACACAAGAATATATTTGTTGCTTTTGCCATTATAAATAGTTGTCTGAGAATACAGTACGTGGGTATCCAGAAAGCAGAGTTACCTGAAATATTACACCCCATTAAGAGAGATAAAGCAAGTTGGCTAGCACAGGGGCAAACCCTCACCATCTGATTTGCTGGGAGACTCCAAGACTCTTCTGGATTCACAAAACATTCCCTGGCTTTCAACGAAAAGTCACATCAGACTCTCTAAGTCAACTAGGTTTACTGTGAGCCACTTCAAACCTCAAACTTAAACAGAATTTATTAAATAAACACAACCTAGAAAGGAAAGGGAGCCAAGAAACCACAGTGACTCTCCAACCCAGGGGAGAAAAAAGCGCTCCCAAGTCAAGTTTCGGTGTCCCGCGCTCCAGGACCGTAAAGAGGGCATCAGTTTCATCTTCTAAAATAACCAGTTTGCCATAAACGAATTTTCTTTCAATTCGAATTCAAAATCTGCCAAGGCCAGTCAGTACAAATGCACGGTCTTTTGGTACCACCCTCTGGAATCAGCCCAAACCCTAAAGGCGCACTTCTCTGGCGGGCACAGCACTTAGGCTCCGAGGTCCGGCAGGCGGAGAAATCGGTGACTGATTGAACCCCAACCTCCCTTTCTCACACTCCATTAAGCCGTCTCCTCTGGAAGTGTTTGAACCCCTGCACAGGAAGCCGGCACGGTTTGCAAAGGAAATACCAGACCAGACCTTTCTTGGAGAAAGGCACGTCCCCGTCGAACATTTTATGGGGCTTCCTGCTCCGGGGCAGCCGGGCGGGCAGACGTGCCCCGGCCCGGGCCCCGGGCTCACCTGGCGAGGTGGACACCCGAGACCAGCCACCCCCGCAGGAGGAAACGCACCTCCCACCTCGCCGGGCAAAGTGGGAGCGCGGGACAAAACAAAACCTGCCTCGGCTTACTCATCGGAGACCGCGGGGAGGGGAGGGTGGATTGCAGGCGGCTCCCAGAAAGTCGAGCCGTGTCGGGCGCAGGGAAAGGGACCCGTGCGCGCGGCGCGGAGGGCACATGCCACCCTCCCTCCCCGGGCTCGGGACGCCGGGTCGGGCCGGCGGCGCACTCACCTCGGGGAAGAAGTTGTCCATTGTTCCGGAGCCCCCGCAACTCGCTGGTCCGGCTCCCAGCTCGCGGGAGGCAGCGCGGCGCCAGGTCCGGGGAACCACGCGTGTCACGGCGCGGGCCCCGGGAACGCGAGCCCGCGGGGCCGCCCCGCTGCCATCGCCCGATGCCTCCTCCTCCTTCTCACCTTTTGTTTGCCCAAACCCCAGTCTCTAACTCATCCGTCCCAACTGCAGCCTTTGTCTCTCCTTCCTCCAAGTTCCCTCACTCCTGCGCGCAGCGCTCGCGAGCGGGGAACAGCTGGTGGCACATTCTTCCCCGGGCTGGGGGAGGGCGGCGGGAGGCTGGCGGGCGCGCCCCCTCCTCTGCGCTCCGGCCGGGGCACTCGGGGCTGGCAGGGGCACGGCCGGCCACAAAGCGATCCCGAGGCGCTCTCCCGGTGCGAGCGCCGCTAAGCCGAGCACTCCCGCGCCGCGGCTCAGCCGGCGCTCGCCCGCGGAGACTCGCAGCCCGGCGCCCGGCCCCGCCCCGCCGGGAGCAGGCCACGCCCACCAGCAGGTCAGCCCCGCCCCTAGGAGCCCCGCCCCGCCCCGCCGGGAGCAGGCCACGCCCGCCCGCAAACCTAGCCCCGCCCCCAGGAGCCCAGCCCCGGCCCGCGCCCGGCCCCGCCCCTCCAGCGCCAGCACCCGGCCCCGCCCCCCAGCGCCAGCGCCCGGCCCCGCCCCCCAGCGCCAGCGCCCGGCCCCGCCCCTCCAGGAGCAGGCCACGCCCACCCGCAACCCCAGCCCCGCCCCGCTCGGCCGGCGCGCGCCGCCCCCACCTCCAGCCGGGCCCCGCCCACTGCGGCTCCCTCCCGGCGGGTCCGGGACCAGCGGGGCGGCCCCGCGCGGCGCCGCAGGGTCCCCCGCCTTCCAACCCGCCGCGCGGAGCACTCGACTCTTCCTCTGCTGACAGAGACCAAACAGTCACTGGAGGGGAGGCCTGGGGGCTTCGTTCGAGCCGCCGGTGTGCAGCCGGCCCTGGCACCGGCGCCCCGCGGATCTCGGAAGCGCGGGCCGGTGGACGACGGTGCCGGGAGGGACGCGCGGGCCGCGGGGCCAGATCACAGCCGCCAACGGGGCGCATCGGGCTTTGGGGAAGCGGCCTTCCCGGGTTGAGTTTCTCTCCTGCAGCCGTCTTCGTAACAGCGGGGACCTGTGGGTTAGTACGCTGGGAGGGGACATGGGCCATAGCACCTTTAAAAACGTGACCCTTCTCCGGAACCTCCAGGAAGCGGAGGTGGCAGATGGCGTCGAGATGGATGAATGATCACCCCCTGGTGCGCGTCCTGGCCGCCCCTGGGTCAGTGCTTCGAACTTACGGTGCACAGGAATCGCCTGGGGTCTCGTTAGACCGCAGACTGGGATTCGGTAGGGTGAAGCTTGCTATTAATAACAGGCTTCCAGGTGCCCCTCGGATGGTACCTGGCCCATAAAGCCTGTCTGTAACAGGTAGAGAAATTAAAGAGTAAAGGTTTAGAAACTTTGGTAGCGGTTTAACAATGCCACGACATCCAAGCACATGATCAGTGGACCCTTTGAACCTGGTATAGACCAGTTTGGGTGTTGTCAGACTCGCGTCGGTGAGTCATACCTGCCACCGCAGTATTTTGGTACCTGGCAGATGGGGAACAAAAATGACTGGTTCTTTACCACAAATGGTTTGAGACGCTCCCTCTAGGGGATTTGCCAACTACTGTTCAACCTTTAAAACTCAGCTCAGAAATTCACATCTTCCCTGGGAGACCTTCCCAAAGATAATCATTCCACTCGTCCTACCACAGGCTCCACCTAACCAGTGGGCTGTAATAGCCCATTCTTTGGGGTTTATGTCTAAGACTGTCCAGGAAACTATATCATGTCTTTTTCTTGAAGAATAGAAACCCCATGAAGGAAGGAACTGTGCTTTAAAATTTGTATTCCCAGACTCTCAGGACATGAATGAATAAGTGAATCACCCTTCTGTGTTATTTACATGAAAATTCAAGCATATTTGTAACTTATCCCAGTGCATGTCGTCTGCATTAATATTGGTGCTCCCACCTCACTTCCCTTTGGAAAGAGTCAAGGTGTAAATTAGTTTATGATATTATGCAACACTATTGTTCTGTTTCACAGGTTTACAACACTTAAAGCTCTCAGCCATTAAAGCTTGTGTCCAAGGTTGCAGGGAAAATAAAGATGGAGTCAGGATAAATACTGAAGATCCCAGGCACCAACCAAAGTGCTTAGTCAAATGAGTCCTGCTGCCACTTGTGATCAGATACTGGAGCAGAACAATTACAGTCATTATGGTATTAATCTGCACACAACATCTCTACAATAAAAATTGCCTGGGAGCTTGTTCAAGAGAGTGTATGGGTGTGGCCTCATTCCCACCGGCAGCCCAGCCACTGGTGTATTGGGCAATCTTGCCTGGCGTTTCAAAAGTCTGTTTCCAATATTGGCTCATCAATTGTAACAAATGTACCACACTAATGCCAACATGTTAAAAACAGGGGACACTAAAAACGGGATAAAGCAAGTCTAGGAGCTCTCTGTATTTTCCACTCCATATTTCTGTACACCGAAAACTGTTTCTCAAAAAAGTCTATTAATTTTTAAAAAGTCACTTTCCTGTCAAATAAGATATGCCCAATAATTGCCCCAATCTTGGCTCACATAAAGAATTGTTAGCCAGAGCCAATATATAAAGGTTAAATTTTACTGAATCATTTTATTTCTTTAAAAAGTTTACATCAGGCTGGGCACCTGTAATCCTAGCACTCTGAGAGGCCAAGACAGGAGGATCGCTCAAGGTCAGGAGTTCAAAACCAGCCTGAGCAAGAGCGAGACCCCATCTCTACTAAAAATAGAAAGAAATTAATTGACCAACAAAAATGGCACTCAAGCCCTAGCAACAGAGTGAGACTCTGACTCAAAAAAAAAAAAACTTTACATCAATGTTTTACAAGTTATAGTCCTCAGATCACCTTATCAGGATCCCTGGGGCAACTGTTAAAAAGACAAAACAAAAAAAACCCTAATTCTGAATTTCTGGGGCATGTTGGGTGCCTAAGAACTTGCATTTTAATAAGCACAGTTTGAGAATGGCTGCTTTAGGTTATCAGAATTCATCAGATTTTCTGTATACACCCCTGTTCTCAAAAAGGTGTAAAGATAAACTGTAGCAGTAAGATTCTATTTGCTGAACAAATGCTAAAGTGCATGTTATTTTAAGCACTCTAAATAGAGTATCTAACCCTCGGAGTATTTGGGGTTGAATCAGTTGTTATAAAGAACTATGTTTAAAAAGAAAAGAAAAGGACTGTGAAATTTACAAGGATTTTGACAAGATCGAACAGAGACAGGGGAGTTTTTTAAATCAATAAATTTCTAAGAATATCCACTCTTGTTGCCATTTTTTAGAAGCAAAGTGCTTCCTCCGAGGGAGTCGTGCTACCCACAGGACAAAGCAGTTTAGCCTAAAATGGTTAAACCCTGTCCTCTGAGAGTGACAAAGACACAAGAATGTTAATGCCAGGATGGGTACAGTCCTCTGAGGCAAAGTTCCTTCTCAAATATCCTACTTACTTATCTTTCAGAGATACCAGGCTAATGAAATGTTCCATTTTCAAAATAAAACACTCAAGTTTTCTTAGTTAGTATCATAAATTAATCTATAATTGACAAAATTTAATTTTAAGATAGATTGGATCATTTCCCCACATTAAAGAAGAGTTATATATGTATATTTATGAGTTAAGTAATATAATCTTCCTCTGTTTTTATTCTCCACCAACAGTTTGTTTGTTTTTTGTTGAAATGGGCTGTCTAATTTTCTTCCTAGATTCAAATTTAGTTCCTTTGTTGTTGCTGTTATTGCTGCTGCTGCCATTCCTAATCTTGATGTGTATTTAGGGTGTAGAGCCTTTTCCCTTATCTTTTTTATTAAATACTCAGCTCTTAATTGCTCCAGTCACACTAATGGGTTAATTACTAGCTACAGAAAGGGAAAGTTTTGAAAGTTTCTTTCACACAAATTAGAAGTTAATAACTGACCATTCTAAAATCCTTTCATGCTTAACTAAACATCAGTCCATCCTTGCTGCCCACTTATAGTCTTAGATGTTTAAAACATCAAAAGGTTTTGCCTTTTTGGTTTTCTGTCTTATAAGGATGGCTCTCACCATGTTGCCCAGGCTGGTCTCAAACTTCTGGCTTCAAGTGATAGTCCACCTCAGCCTCCCCCAATGTGGGGATTACAGGCATGAGCCACCACGCCTGGCCTTGTTTTTGCCTTTTTGAACAAACAAAAATGAAGGGACCTTTTTAAATGTTCTTTAAATTTTTAGACAAATATATTTTTACCTCTTGTAACTTACAATTCAAAAATCCTCAAGATTTTTTTTCCTGTGAAACTGAAAACAATTGTGAATGATTTCTATAGAAAGAATAAATTTCAGGGGGAAAATACCTGAAATGTTTCACATTGTAATAGAATTAATTAAGCACAAATTGTAATAGAATTAATTAAGCACAGAAAAATAAACACAGAAATAAAACAGGGATAAGACACTCAAAGAACTCATTTTGCTAACAGTCATTTTTCTAAACAAGACGAGCTTAGGCTAGAGTGTAACTCACCTCATCAGAGAACATTCAATGAGTAGTTAATTCTAACTAAATCCCTGTGCCTTCAAACTACAACAAGAATGCTTTCTAAAGTGATATCCTACACAGGCATGACATGTTATTGTCATAAATTAATCCACTCTGTGCTTGGTGCTGGTCCTGTTGAGTTTAATAAATAAATAATATAAAAACTCTTGAAACACTGAAAAGCTCTGCATTGATATATATTAAGCCCACTTGGAGCTATGTGTGACATCTCCCTTCTCTCCCGATTTCCTTGTGTCTTCATGCCCCTCTCTCTCCATTACTCCAGAGTGATTCATAGCCTATCATCTCTCCACCGCCATTGTTAATCTTGTTTGCCACTTCCACTTGAATGTTTATAGCAGCACATTTCACAATTGCTGTGGAAACAACCCAAGTGTCCATGGATTCATGAGTAGATTAATAAAATGTGGTATATGCATACCATGGAGTACTACTCAGCTTTAAGAAACAATGGTGATATAGCACCTCTTGCATTTTCCTGGATAGAGCTGGAACCCGTTCTACTAAGTGAAGTATCTCAGGAATGGAAAAACAAGCACCACATGTACTCACTAGCAAATTGGTAGTAACGGATCAACACTTAAGTGGACATATAGGAGTAACATTTATCGGGTGTTGGGAGGGTGGGAGGGGGGAGGAGTATATACAACCACAACGAGTAAGATGTGCAACGTTTGGGGGATGGACACACTTGAAGCTCTTACTCGAGGGGGAAGAGGGGCATGGGCAATATATGTAACCTTAACATTTGTACCCCCATAATACGCTAAAATAAAAAAAATCACGTTT